GAGATCTCTTTTGATAGTTAAAAAAATTTTATGTCTTACAGGGTTTATACTGAATTCAATATTGTATACCTATTAATTCAATTGAGCCTAAAAAGTTACAGCCACTTTTGAAAGAGATGTATCTTTACTCTGGAAACTGTTATTGAGTATGTTAAAGATGTAATAAAATGCTTCTTCTAAAAAATTTTTTTAATTAAAAAAATAAGTTAAAATTTTTAAAGTACCCTGAATAATAATTTTCCTATCATGTAAAATATGAACTGTTTTCAACCCATGGAAGAGATAGTTGGAAACATGAACTTCAGATAGGTCACCGGTTCCCTGACTATACGCTCTGAGTCCTAGGCACCACTGTTATCTCTGGTACCTTTGCTTCCTGCTAAGTGTTGAGGGATGACTGCACCTTTGAGATGTTACTCCACTTCCTGTGTAAACATCAATATGAGGCGCAGTCCCTTTCCTACTGATTCATCTACTTCCACAATTATGAAAAAGAGCTAAGTTTATCTGGATGACACTGATATGCAAGGCCTTTTGTATATGCTGTGATAAGGACTCACCTAACAAGCCTGAACAGCTAGATGCAGGGTGAGTACATCTACGCAGGTACACAGATCTGTGGGTGCAGACAGTGTGACACCACACCCAAGCTGCTCCCTCTGTGCTCCCCTGAGGTACACCAGGTAGAGATCCATGTGCATCACAGCCCTCTGCGATGAGCAGAAATTCCCAGTGCTCTAGAAACAAAGTCTTTGCAAGATAGGTCCTTCTTGGTGACATAAGATGTACCTGACTGCAGATGGCTGCCTCACTCTGTCCTCTAAACCATCTAAATCACTCTCCCCTTTCTCTGCCTGCTTACCACAGTGAGAGAACATGCCCATTCTCCTCAGGAGTTCCAGCATCTACTTGCCTCTTCTTCTCATACTTGGGCAGAAACCATCACTTCCCTCTGGACCCCAGGAGCCCAAATTGTTATCTTCTCATACATCTTTCTACTACTAAGCAGGACTAGGCTTGTTTTTCCTGACATCAGCCTCCTCCCATGTTTGTGGAGCAGGTCTGGAGGCTGCTTTAGAGGAAACCCCAGGGCAGGTGTGTTTCTGCACCTGGCTGGGGTTGAGTTAGGGTGGTGAGGGAAAAGTGAGGGAGGTGTTGAGGGCACTTTCTATGGTAGTTGTAAGATGATAGCCTATGTCCATCCCATGGGCCTGATAGCCAAGAACATATGCCCTTGTTCCATTTAAATTGTAAAAAGGGAAGAGTGAAACTTCCTCACCAGCCCAGGAGAACAGATCTTCATCAGCATGTCTGTGTGTGTATGTGTGTGTGTAAGTGGTGTATATATGTGGCGTATGTTATATACTTGTTAGTGTATACCCACATACGTGTTTGTTGGGGGGTGATGGTGGTAGTGTGTATATATGGTGTATATACTTGTTAGTATGTGTGTACATGTGTGTTTAGTTTCACATGCATGTGTGTCCATGTTCATGACGAGACCAGAGGTCAACATCAGGTGTCTTCCTTGATACCTCTCCATCTTTGTTTTTTGAGACTGGGTCTCTCACCGAGCCTGAAGCTCATCAATTAAAGGGCTCCAAGACTCCTCCAGTCTCTGTCCAGCACACTGCTGGGGTTTCAGGTGCATGTTTTACAGGGGTGCTGAGCATCCCAACTAGGTCCTTGGGCTTGCATGGCAGGCCCTTTACCAAGTAAACCATCTCCCCAGGGCCTTCCATGAGCATTTCTTAAAAGTACTTTCTTACCTTTCAGAATATGCAACTTCTCTGAGCCACCTGGAGTTTGGAAACAGATCAATTCATGCTCTTAAATAAATATATATCTTACCAGATGATTTAATAAAGTCAAAAGGTGATGGGTCTTGCCAGTGAAAAGGACGAACGAGTGGGAGGCAGCACACAAGACAGAAAAGCACAGGCAGTATGGGTGGTGCCATCTTGGGACCCAAGCAGTAGTTTCAGTTTAATGTTCTTCATGCCAGATAATTAAAAGGAAAAAAACAAAATATGCAGTGAATGTATTGAAGATGAATTGAACAGGTTCAGTGACCCTGAGGTCCTAGCAGCATTTCTTATAAACAGAACATGCATTTTTTGAACCAGTAGGTACTAGATTGGAGAAATCCTTGATCCTGATGGATTGCAGAACATATAAATAACATTTTAAAACTTTAAAAAAATGTGTATGAGTGTTTTGCCTGCATGTATATAAATGCACTCATGTCATGCAAAGCCTATAGAGACCAGAAAAGGGTGTCAAATCCGCTGGAACTGGAATTGTAGACTGCTTTTAGCCACCATGTGGGTACTGGGAACCAAACCTGGGTCCTCTGGAAAATCAGCCAGTGCTCTCAATCAGTGAGCCATCTCTCCAGACCTCTATAGAAATAACATTTTTCGACAGCTAAATATTAAAGTTTAGGGCCCTAGTTCTCTAATTTTATAACTGTGTCATTTGGTTATAAAGAAGAGCATCAAACTGCAATACTAATAACAGGCATATCATCACCTTGTTATGCCCATTGGCACCTCTGGACCAGTAGCTAATAGGTTCTAGATAATTGTTCCATCATAATTTCTATAGTGATTATAATGTTGCTGCTGTAGTTTTTTATGTAAGTGATGCTAATTGTTGGCATGTGTATTCTACCAAGTCTGTTCAGTAGAGACCCGGAGACCCTCACCAAAAAGTAGAGATCAGGTCTATCTCAGACTGGTAGCTAGTGTTGGATAAATGGTTCCTGAATCAAGAGATGAGATAACAGAACAACAGACTTGCCCGGATTTTGTGAAGCTCTGGGTTTGATCTCCAGCACTGCATAAACCAGGCATAATGATCCTAGCACATGCTCCTAGGGAGGTGACCGCAGGAGAAGCAGGAGTCCAAGGACATCCTTATTAAGTTCAAGGCCAGACTGTGTTATATGAGACTCTGTCTTTAAAATAAATAAATGAATAAATGAAAAGATAAAATAAATGCCGGGCGTGGTGGCGCATGCCTGTAGTCCCAGCACTCAGAAGGCAGAAGCAGGCAGATCTCTGTGAGATCAAGGCCAGCCTGGTCTACGTAGTGAGTTCCAGGCCAGCTGGGGCTTACAGGGAGACCCTGCTTCAAAAAGACAAAGCAAACAAGCAAGCAAACAAACAAACAAAAAACCCGCATCCCTTCAACTTTGATGGTTGGAATTTCCCAAGTTCTCAAGCAGGACCAGGATGCCCAGCTCTCCATGGCTACAGCCTCAGGTGCTCGCAAGGCACACAAGGAATTCCACCTGAACTTATGCAGCTACAGGGTCCCTTAGGGTTTTTGAATAAGCAGATTCCTGAGCCCTTCCCCAGACCTCTGTCCTCCAAAGGCAGCCTAGGCATCTAGCAATCCAATCCCAGAACGCTGTATTTGGAAACCGCTACAAGGGTTCATGAGTCCCATTTATTAATGGAATTTCTCCTCTGCCCAAGCCTATGTAGTCTCTGGTTTCATCCTCAAAACAATGATCCCCTCATCCATTCAATGATTGGCAGGCTCATTCATATTTCATATAGTCATTTGTTCACACATTCATTTAGCCAATCTTTAGGAAAAATTTCCAATTAGCGATAACCATGCCCCAGATAAATCTCATTGGTTACAATCTACTCAGTTTTTAAGAGTGCTTATGTAGATCAGGCTGGCCTCAGTCTCACAGAGATCTGCCTGCCTCTGCTTCCCAAGTCCTGGAATTAAAGGCATGTGCCACCATACCTGGCAAATAGCCACTTTAATCTTAACCTAGACACCTGGAGATATCACATCAAGGCTGAAGAAGTTTTCTTCAAAGGAAAGAACCTCCTGCCTTTTGGGAGAAATGTTTTAGAGAAAACAGGTTTTGTTTTGTTTTATTTTGCAACAAAGGTTTTCTATGTAACCCAAACTGGGCATTTAATTCCTCCTACCTCAAACTTCTGGGTTCTGGGATAGTGACTGCAAGTGTATCGGCAGTAAAGGGGGCTTTTAATGTCCTGTAAATCCAAGCCCCCAGAGCAGTCCACTCTGGCTACCCCAGTGCCCCTGGACATCAAGCTTCAGAAAGTGAGGGAGAAAGTCCTTTACTTTTCAAGCTGCACTGGAGTCCTGTAAAGCAGGACCCCAGATGCCTCTTGAGATATATGGGATGTATCTTTTGTGTTTGGGAGAGACAGGAAATGTGCCTTAAGGAGGGTGAACTGCACACCAGGTATCTCTACTCCTGGCATGCTGTTCTTGTTACAATGAAGAGGAACAACAGGAAGATTGTTCTGCTCCCAAACAGTACTCCCTGATGTGGGGCAATACAAAGGGTAACTTAACAGTGAGACTGGCCATTTTGTTCTGCTCAAGAAGTCCTGTTGGAACTAAATTGCTTTTAGTTCTTTTTGAGACTGACCTAGGGTCCTAGGACAAAGAGCTAAAGCAATAAGAATGTTTTGAAACGATTTATATTTGCCAGTTTCACTTTGGAGGAGTGGGGGGTGTTTTAAAACAGCCACATGGACCAGGAAGGGGATGGGATAAAGCTTGCTCTGGAAGGATCAACAGGTGTACCTGATTAGCATAGCACAGGCCTCTTAGGCAAGTTTGGCTTGGTTTTCTAGCATCTCCACTTTTCAGCTTTGTTTTTTCCTTTATCGTTACCACTGTCTGCTCTTTCAGAGGGCTTTGGTTTAGCTCCCAGCACCCACATGGCAGTTAACAACTATCTGTAACTCCAGTTCTTGAGGATCCAATGCCCTCTTCTGGCCTCTGCAGGCACTGCACACAGGTATCGTTCTTACATATAGGCAAGCAAAATACACATACACATAAAACAAAAATAAACAAATCAAAAACTCTTAGAACAAATGTAATGGTAGATGCTTTAAAATGTAACCCTAGAATGTCTTCTGTTGCTCTGTGATGGTTTTTAAGGAGAAGACAGACCATCGGAGCCACAGTGCTCAGGAGGCCCTCCCTCCACCTGATCTTTCATTCATTTCTGGACCAGTGTCATCCCTCCTCTCTCCACCATCCCTGTGTGCTACACTCTGGGCTCTTGAGCTCATTGACACTAACCTCAGCTTCCCCAGGGCCTCATCAGCACCTCTACACTGTGCTCATTCACACTATTACTTTGTATTGAATTCCATTGCTTTTCCACATTTAAAATCTTTCCAGGGCTTTGACCATACTTCCATGGTAAAGTACTTGGTTCTCCATGTGCAAGGCTCTGGGTTTGATCCCCAGCACATAAAAAATACTTTTTCATTGGGACTGGAGAGATGGCTCAGCGGTTTAGAGCACTGGCTGCTCTTCCAGAGGACCTAGGTTTGATTCCCAGCACCCACATGGTAGCTAACAACCATCCGTACCTCCAGTTCGAAGGGATCTGCTGACACCCTCTTCTGATCTCTACAGGCATTGCATGACACCAGTGTACCTACCTACATGCAGGCACTCATACACATAAAATAAAAATAACAAAATATTTGTTTGTAAAAAAACCCTTTTTCATATCCATCTTTCCTCCAGGTCTAATAGCTTTCATGGTTTTTAATTTGTCATCCTTCTCTGTTCTTGTGAAGGGGTGTCTTAAATACACTACATACATTCTTCCTCCTTCTGGTTCATTTGTCTAGATTTATTCATCTATTAGCTATTTTATTGTTGATGTGATTTTACTCTAAATCCTTTACTCTAATTCCATAAAGGCAATCCTTTATGAAAGTATTATACATTTTAAGTAAATGTGATCCCCAAATTTCCATGTTATAAAAATGAAAACAGCACTTCTGGCTTTTCTGAACAAAGCACTAGTCTGAACAGTCAGGCATCCTTGGCTTCCCTAGACCCTGGCTGCTTCCACATTCATTGAGATGCGTGGGAGACAGCCGAGGAGGCTTTTCTACAGTGGAACACAGAGGAACCCTTCCTAAGAAGCCTGTAACTCTCCAAGCCTTCTGCCTGCAGATAAGCATCAGCTAGAAATGGATTTGAATTTCAGAAGTGGAACTTTAACTCTGGTGGTTACTTTGAACATACTCTTAGAACTAGAGAATACAAGTGACATTTTTTTTCAGTAGTGCTGGGAATGGAACCTAGGGTCTCTCACATGTTAGACAAGAGCTCTTCCACTGGGCTACTCCCTCAGCCCACACAGTAACCACTTAGCAGTCTTCATAGTGAAACATAGAGTAGCCCACTTTCACAGCCACCACTACTGGTCAATGTAAAAATGAAAACTTTTCTTTGAGAAAAAGATAACTGGGCACACAAGAAACAACTGGCAAACCAAAGGCCAAGGAACACAGCATCTGCATGGGTTTCTAAATGGAGAAATTCACTACAAAAAGTCAGTCATCCATGCTAATAGCTTATAGCATGAATATTAAAATGCATTTGGGAGCAGAGAAGCTAGAGAGATGGCTCAGTAGTTAAGGGCACTTGCTGCTTTTGCAGAGTACCCAGATTCAGTTCCCAGTGTCCAAGTGGTGGCTCACAACCACCTGTAACTCTAGTTATGGGGGATTCAACACCCTCTTCTGGCCTCTGAGGGCACCATGCACACATGATGGTACACTTACACGCAGGCAAAACACTCATGTTCATAAAAAAATTTAAATTTAAAAGTAATAATAAAAAGCCATGCAAGTACCCACATAAAAAGACTGGTGTGGTGAAGTAGATGACTATAGCCCCAGGAGTCTGAGGCAGAGACAGGAGGATCACTGGTGCTTCCTAGTCACCATCTGAGCTCCAGGTTCAGTGAGAGACCCTGCTCAAGGGAACAAAGTGAAGAGTGACAGACCAGGACATCTGACATCCTCTTCTGCCTGCCAAGCATACACATGTACATCACACACACACACACACACACACACACACACACACACAAGCAATTTATTGAGTCTTGAATTGTCCATATCTTTCATTGACCCTTTAATTAAATTTCTAGGATTAGTATACTATCTTATAAATG